TAGCTTTCAGCTGTTTATATTACTTAGACTTTTAAATTCACTGGGATATGACTACACAATTCATTTTTCTGTATTACCTGTAAAATGTACTATAATGAAAAGATCTTGTATTTAACAGGTTCCCTTCACATATCCAATTCTCAACTTAGTTTTCAAATTTATTTTTCTTCAATAGCACTAGATACAATTAAGTGCCATTTTAAAAAGGTAAGTTTCATATATGAGAGTGTGTGCAAACATGCACGTTTTGAATCATGCTGGGTCACATCTAGAAATAAGTGTATTTTTTAGGGCTGTGCCTTTGTCATCTCTAAATATCTGGAGCTAGGAATGGTAACAGTTAATGTACCTAGTAACAGGTAATGTGTCTATTTATTAAATGAACAGAAGTGAAGTGAGGGGATACCAAGAGACATTATTTTTCCCCTACCAACATTCATCTGTTTCAGCATCTTTTTCAAGTGTTCAAAGACACTTGGAGTGAAAGAGAGGAATCAGGCTGCTACAATATGTCCTCTCTTACAGAATGACAATGTGTTTTTAAGGAGTACAACTGTCACATTTCCTGGTTGTTTAGCTCCCTCCAATGGACAGTACTGTGCACTGCATTCTGAAACTGGACAAAGTGCCCAAGAACTCGTGTGTAGCTATTAAACTACAGAGAAACAAATCTTTTAATACAATATTTAAATGTCAGTTTTGGTAACTGTGTCTTTCAGTTTTGGTAACTGTATCTTTAAAGCACAATGATTTAAAAGATACACATGAAAGAAAAAAAGTAAAATCATTCAGATCTCTGTTTGACCATTGAGTTTGTTTGATTTATAACAAAACCTACCACTTTGTATTCATGCAATGTATTCATACAAATGATGGTTGAATTACTTAAAAAATAAGTTTTATTCTTTTGGGGCTTGCTTTTAAGACTTGCTAGGTGGGACCAAAGAAGCATTTAGTTCAGAACTGATTATTCTGTGCAATGAGACATGACCCTGATGAACACTCCACGAATATGAGGTTTTCCAGTATAGTTGGGGGTGGGACAAGGAATCATTCTTGGCACAAGCACTGATCCTTCTGGTCCTTTCTAATGGCTTTTTTCATGGCTTCCTACATATTCTTCAAATATGTATGCTGGTCAGTCCTCATTGAAGGCTCCAGGGGCCACCCCTGCAGATCCTGCTCTCTGCACAGCATCTACTTCCTCATCTTGTGTTGTGCCAACTCTGGTCTCTTGGGTGTCCTCTTTGGACCCTCAACTCTGTCTCCTCAACTCAGGAACCTGGTGGGTTTCACTTATCTGAGGCCTGGAGACCTGTAGGGCAGGAGCTGGTCTCAAGACTCCCTCATGGGTTTCCTGTCCCTGCGGGGTCACTGTCCTTCCTTGTATAAGCCCAGGGTCCTCAACATCATTGCTTCATCTGTTTTGTCTGTTTTTTTCCTTTGTACGTGTTTGGTTATTTCAGGAGGGAGGGTAAACCAGGTTTACCCTGGTAAATTCCCTGCCACACCATCTTGCCTAGAAGCATGTTTCCCTACTTTTTATTTGTGAATGGGAATTTGATGGAAATTTCTCTCAGGTGTTTCTCACAGTGACTTTAGGGTAAGGCACATGTGCCTCAGAACCTCCTGGGACACTTGTTAAAAACGAAAGTTTCTGATCTTCACCCAGACCTGCTCCACCAGAATCTCCTGAGTAGGGCTCAGACAGTGCTGTTTGAATAGCTCCATGTTACACACAACCAATTTTATGAACATCACGAAAGGTCTGCTTTGGCCAAACTACCAACTAGTTGTATTCTAACAGGGATCTGCAGAAATTTTACCTGGAAGCTGAAGTCCTTTGTGTGGATGCAGTGAGGCTGCTTGCCTGAGGAGCCACCTGACTAATGTTTACTTCCTTAGGCAGGTGACCATGTTCCTCAGCCACTGAAAAAGGACTTTGCCCTGGCTTGGGTTTCTTTGGTAAATAATTGCTTATCTTGATTACAAAATGTCCTTTGTCAAAAACACCTGACCAGTTTTTCTTAAGAAGGAAAACAACCAAATGGCCTCTGCTAGAGCCTTTACTGGGAAGCATTTGCAGCTGCTGGTACTTGGGCAAAGGCCACGTGAAAGCTGGTGTGGCCTAAGGAGGCTGGAGCTACAGGAACTTCTCCCAGAGTACCATGGAAACTGGACTCACTGAGTATGATGAGTTGTGGTTGGTGGCCATGAATAGTGACTCCTGTGTCCTTATCTTGTGGCTGGAGTGTGTAGCAGTTCCCTGCTTAATGAAGGCAAGAGTGTGAGTGTGAGAGGAAGTTGGAAGGAGGCTGAACAGAAGGGAAGACCTAGGAGAGCATGAGCCTCATTTCCCTTTGCACTGAAAGTGATATGTCCCCTCTGAAAGTAAGGAGCCAATGTTAATAGGAAACAGGATTTTCTCCCTTAGATGAGTTTCAGTCACAGAGAATTTGTACTTTTGGTTAAGAACTTGGTAAAATCTCAAACTGTTTTGAAGGCTAAAGTGTATTTTATTTCCTTGTTACTTGGGCCTTGCATTATAGACCAATTAGTGCCAAGGTTGGTGGGAAGATAGCCACATGCCATGGGAAAGACCTGCTTTCCAAATCTTGTCCAGTATTCACAGGAGCTCCTTTCTCTGGTTATGTGTTTCCCAAGCAAGGCTCTCTAGGAAAACCTAGAGTCCCATTATGGAGCAACTCTGTGTGTGTGCAGACGTCATCTGTATTAAACGTCAACCAACCACCAAGCACAAATCTTAGTTTCCGCTGAGTGTTTGGATTCTGCACATGAAGTGCTGTGCTTTCCTGGAAAGGGTTGGTCTTACGTGATGCCACGTTGGTCAGCCACACCCCATTCTCCCTTGTTCTAGGAAGGAGCAGGAAGAACATCAAGTGTTCCTTCTTATTCTGAATTACAATGTGGTCTCTTTGAAGGACGCCTTTGAGTTTATTGTTTCTTTGAAGAGAGCATGTTTTAAAATGAATTGTACTGGGCATCAGGAATCTTTAAAAGATACTTTAAAATAATCTTTAAAATGTTTTGATACTCAAAACCTTTCATTAGGCTTTTAAATGATTTTGGTTAGAATTATATATTTGCCAAATAGTTCAGTTGGACCTTTAAATGTTCCCAATACAGAAAGTAGAAATGAAGAATTGTGGCCCACTGACCTGACCAGTAGCCAAGTCTATGCATATACATATCCATATGTCTATGCGTATGTCTTCTTCCTGGAGTGATTGTTTCTTGCTTTTATCTCACTGAGATTCTCATGTAAAAAAAAAATGCAGGGACACACACAGCACGCTCAACAGGATCTCACAATGCCCCGTATTTCTGGAGTCTGTGCCAATTTGTTGTCTAAGAAGAAAGACGACAGTTTAATAACTTTATATTGTCTTTGCCATGCAGTTTTTGCTCTCCAGTAAAATAAAAATCCTTTCCCATGAAGCATATATATGGGCAAGATTTTGTTACAGACAGTGGTTTCTTAGTCATGCATTCTTATTATTTCAGGAAGTTTGAAGTCACTAACTAGGAATGCAAACCTGGTGCAGATTTGACCACCAGTGGAAGTAGCATACTTAGTGATTCCAGACAGCGTAGTGCTGATGCTTACACAACACTCCTGGGCAGCGAGGCAGCCCCAAAAGGTCATTTCTCATGACAGGCAGGAACTCATTTGACAAATCCCTACCTGGTGGAATAACTTCATTCTGGACCACTGATAGCTCAGTGACTCTCTGGCAGAGCATCAATTGAGGCAAAGGCAAAGGGAAAAAAGGAATATATTGCCCCCCTGCCTTTTTTAATGCTATTTCACTTGGATTAAAATTTACACTTCAAAAGGAATTTTAATTAATTTGCAAATTGCTTTACTATTCAAAATATATTAAAAAGTCACAATCTATATATATATAGTTTCTGTGAGGTTGAACATCATGGGCCAAGGTCATTTTGATTTGTTTTAGAGGTATTGGGGTTGAAGCCAGAGCTCGGCCTCATCCTGATGCCCTTACAATTGTAACTCAGATGAGAGTTCACTAATAGTTCTTGGAATATTTATATGGGTTACTATTGCAAGAGTCCTTATAATTTTAGGAACTTGCATATGTCTTCTTCCTGGAGTGATTGTTTCTTGCTTTTAGCTCACTGAGATTCTCATGGCAAAACGAGTGCAGGGACACACAGCACACTGCCTGGTCTCTGCATCACATTCAACACATTCTAGATGATGATCAGGAAAAGATACTTCAGAAATACGGGGCATTGTGAGATCCTGTTGAGTGTACCAGTTGTCTATGTAGTTGACCAACTACCATACATACTGAAAATACATTATTGGTATTTAGTATTAATAATGATTGTATGCTTAGTACCTAAGTTTCTTTAAAAGTACTGTGTCTTTCTGATCTGTACAGTTTAAAAGTTTCTAACAAACATACAAGGCCTTGTATGATCTAGCTCATCTCCTGCTTCCTGAGCTTTATTTGTTATACTTCTCCTGACTGACTTTGTTGGATTCACAGTAGGGTTAGCAGGGTGGCACTTTAGCCCTTTCCCATTCCAGCTCTTTCTCTACATATATCTACATTTTTCTATCAGAACATGGGGGTAAACTGCTAATCCATTTCAGATATGAGCTCAAAATTAACTTCCTTGGTTAATAATATCCCAAAGCCCCAACCCTGTACTCCTCCTCTCTTCAGTGTTTCCCTTATTGTAATAGATGATTTATTGTGTAGCTAGTTCTTTCTCTTGGCATATGAGCTTCATGAGGCAAGTATCTGACTGGTTCATCTCTGAATTCACAGGGCTTTTCCAGAGAGTAAGGCCAACAGTAGATGCTCAAACAATATTTGCTGAAGCCATGGATGTTGAGTAAATCATCTAAAGCTTGTACTTTTTGTTAAGAACCAAAAACTTTTTTTTTCTTTTCGTTTTCTTAGCTGGGAAGTCATCAATTCCAAACCGGATGAAAGACCCAGACTCAGCCACTGTATTGCAGAATCATGGATGAATTTCAGCATATTTCTTCAAGAAATGTCTCTTTTTAAACAGCAGAGCCCTGGAAAGGCAAGTTTTCTAGTACAAGAGTGTGTTCTAAATGTGCAATGTACATTTATCACGTTTTTATCATAAACATTCTCTAATTCTTAATACACAGGGAACATATGACTGAAAAGCTGGAATCAGCAAGGGCTCAGTAACTTTAGTATGTGCTAGGCCGTGGTGGTACACAATACCTGTAATCCCAGCAATTCAGGAGGCTGAGACAGGATCGAAAGTTCGACACCAGTCTTAGCAATTTAGTGAGATCTTGTCTCAAAATAGAAAATAAAAAGGTCTGGGAGTGTAGCTCAGTATTAAAGCATCCCTGGGTTCTATCCCTAGTACCAAATTTTTTTTGAAATTATATATCATATACATTTATTTAGCTTATTAATTGAATGGTGATTAGTCTGTATCAGCCAAACCAAGAAGAAAAAAAAATGTCTTATTTAGAATTTCATTCATGTTTAATGGCCCATTTTCTGAGGTCAAAGGGACATGAATTGAACACACAGTCCTTTAAGGTACTTTCAGAGGTAACAGTGTGTCACTTTCATTCTGAAAATTGGAGAGTTGTATGGTTTATTTATTTAGCAAATAAAACTTTTAGCCAAAACATTCCTTATGATTTGTAAGTGGAACAAGTGTTTTCCTAATTTAAGAAAAACCCCACTGAATGAGTCTAAAGGATTGGAAAGCAATGACCTGAGCAAGAGCACACACACTGATAGTCTTTGTAGTCAGGATGAACTGCAGAACCACCAACAGGCCTTGTTAGATATTCATGGGTGGTTGGAATGAAGGGTACAAGTGTCAGCATTTGTGATCCCTGTCATTGTACTATGTATAGAGGTCTCATGACTTTGCTATTATTGAATAATAGAACTGTGCTTGGAAAGAATTGGAGCATATTGGAATGGCAGTGTTGTCTTCCAATGGGAATTTTTAATCATTGAAGGAAACTTTAAGAATAGATATCTATTAGGGGCATGATGTATTTTTGGTGGGTATTTTACTCAACTGATTAAAGGTATTTCAGAAGATTCTAAGCTTTAAACTTCTGCCGTGCATTGTATCAGTGTGCCTCAGGTCCATCAACTGAAGATGATGATGCTACAAAATCTAAGGGATAATAAGAAATTGCTTTGCAAAACTCAATTCTGGATATAGTTATGCTATTATATTTGTTCCTTCAACTTCTGCAGCTCTTCCTCAAACATTAATTTTAGAATTCTACATTTCTTCTAGGGCCCTTGATGTTTCAGAAATTGCTGTTAATTTTATTTCACAAGTAATTCTATACTCCTTTTAGCTAGTTAACTTATAAACACTATGCCAAAGAATGGAAAAACAAAGTTAGCCTGAAATTTAGACTCCTTGCTTTCTCTTATTCAGATTTGTATTCCTTCCTCCCATGTCTGTTTTCCTTACTACAAAGTCCACTAATGAATTTTCCTTGCTTATCAATTTAATCTAATACCTTCATTTAAAGATAAAGACATAAGAAGAGGAAGATAGTTAAGACTGGAGTGTGGAAATCAAGTGAAAACTTTTTAATAAGATTTTTTTTGGTCTTGATCTTTCTAATGGGAATTAAGGAAATCTTCTGTAGATTTAAAAAACAATTTTCTTAAAACAACCAAGTTTTTTTTTGAACTAACAGCAGGAAAGTGATCAGATTCACTGTAGGAGTTTCATTTCATTTGTAGTTGGTTCCTAGATGTCCTAAAAGTGGATGAAGTCTATTAGCAAGGAGGATCACAATGACCATAGTTTATCTTAGTTTACCAGCTGTGAAATTAATTAGATTGGTGTAGATGCCTCTAATTTCTGTAACATGTTTTGCTGTGTTTATAAATTTGGATGGGCTTACAGTTGTAGTTTAAAATTGCTGACTTAATTATCTGACTGCATTACTTCCATTAAGTGAGGCAGAGTAAAAGAAGTTTCTAGGATACAGTTCTCTTTAGATCTCTTGCAGCTGGCAGTAACACAGTCACAGGCATGAGTAATGACAGTCATCATTTTCAAAAAAATTAACTCCTCTGCTCTCAACATGATATATTATGAGTGTTAAAGTGAACTAAGGATGTTGAATGTCTGTGTACCAAGAGTGCTGTTTGAAACCATTTGCCATAATCTGATAGGTCACATATAGATAAATGATAGCATGTGTATTCTGTGCTCCAAATGTCTTAGTTTTGTGCATAACTGTCCCCTGTTATTTCTATTACTTCTAGTTTTGTCTCCTGGTATGCAGTGTGTGCACATTTTTTACAATCTTGGGAAGTTACATTCCTGGGGTTATACTCAGCTATCTACTGTGTAAGTATAATAGAGTATTTGGCTAATTTATATGATGCACATGTCATCATTTAGAGGTCTGTAGACCTCCCATAGTTTGGAAGAGGAGGGATGAGTTCTTCCTTATAAAACAAGATGATTATCTTTAATCTCCTGCACAAAGTTTCTCTCCCCCCGCCCAGAAAGGTATTTATATTTTAAAATTGGAAGAATGGCTGTAAAAGCCAGGATTTTAAGTAAACATTTTTATGTTAAATTACTTCAGTAAAACTGTATCTCCCCCACAATATACCAACACTTTTTTTGCTTTGTATGAGTTCTGTGGTTCAAAAAACTAAAAGCACAATTCGATCTCATTGACCTCCACCAGAATGGCTAAAATTAAAAATACTGACCATATCAAGTATTAGGAAGGACACGGAGCCCTTGGAATTCTCATTAACTGTGGGTAGGTATGGTACAGTCACTTTGGATAACAATTTGGCAGTTTCTAATGTATGACCCAGCTGCCCCACAGATAGGTGTTTATCCAAGAGAAACAAATGTTCATAGCAGATTCATTTGTAGGAGCCAAAAGTGGAGTGTAATCTATATGACCATATGACCAGATGAATGAATAAACTGTGGTATATTAAAATAATTAACTAAAAATCGATATATGAAACACTATGGATAAATCTCAAAATAATTAGGTTGAGTGGGAATTAGGGTGAGTTGACTGTATGATTTTATTTATATATAATTTTAGAAAATTAAAGGTAACCTTTATTGGCAAAGCTGGTTAGCAGTTGCCTATGATCAAGTTGTGTGACTGCAGGCAAAAGAGAAGGTTCATACAAACATGAAGGCACTTTGGGGGTAGTAGTTACGTTCACTATGGGTTGTGGTGATGGTTTCTCAGTGTACGTGTATGTCAGAGCTTACCAAGTTGACAAATATCTAGCTGGTACAAGTCTTTGTATGTCAACTATATTTCAAAAGTGCTGCTACAGAAGTGTAGATTTTCTTCTTTTCCTGAAACATGAAGATCTGTCATTGCTACCTTTTGATAGGGCAATTATTTTCTACTTATTTTCCCTACTTATTTTCCCATTTTTATTACACTGGCTTTTAAAATTCACATGATTCCTCTGCATTAGATATTTCCTAAGAACAACAGAGAAATAATCACTAGGGAATATAATACATTCAGTTTGGCAATCCTTTTTTCTTATAGTATTTCTAATGTATAACACAAATGGCAAATGATTGGAACTCAAATCCAATCTTCCAAATAGAACTCTCAGAAAATATCAACCACTGGATCAGCATTGTTTAGGAGGAAAAGAAGAGAAGTGCTGGGGAAGGAGAAATATGGGCAAGGTATTTTCCAGAGGATTTGCATTCATCTTTTACTGCACAACGACCCCAAGCAACACGATTACCCCAGTGCTATTGAGGAGAGGATCATAGATAACAAGAACCTTCCCATGGTAAAATGTCATTAAATAAACAGAGGTGAAGTTTAATTCAGGACACTGCCTGAAAAACATACAACCTTTCTATAGATTTTAAGATAAAAGTATTAAGGTGAGGAAGTTGATCTGATTGCAAGTCTACAAAACAGTGCGTGTGTGTGTGTGTGTGTGTGTGTGTGTGTGTGTGTGTGTGTATATGTACGTACTAAAACATATTTCATGACAAGGAAGAATAGAAATTAGGAAATGAACCTAATTAGGAAGAGGCATTATCCTAAGGAAAAGAATTCTATTTTTCAATAAAGACAACAGTATTTTGTGAAATACTAAGATGTAAACTTTTGAAAGGAAGTGCATTTTACCCATATTCTCTTCCTTCTTATATTTCAGTACTGTTTGCGTTTTTGTGTCCACTGTTTAAATGTAATGATATTGGACAAAAAATCTACAGCAAAATCAAGTCAGTTCTGTTGAAACTAGATTTTGGAATTGGAGAATATATTAATCAGAAGAAACGAGAGAGATCTGGTAGGTAACGTTTGAATTTTAGATTCTATGCATCAAGTAAGACATTAGCAGGCTACTTGTTACAAAATTGCCGTTATACATTTCAGGGTGCATTTAGCCTTTTACTAAATATGATTATAGAAGCTAATCCCCAAAAATAATATATGTGGCCTTTTCCTATTTAGGCTTTATTCTTTTCACAAATACACAATTAACTTTGACTTTTTAATCTAAAATTTTAAGAGAGGGAGAAAAGATTTCTTTATCTTGCTATTTATTATATGTGGTGAACAACTGTAAATAAAAAGAATGCCATCGGTAGGGATAAGAGTGGAGTGAAATAACAGGGGAAGAAAGATAGAGAAAAAACCAATATGATCATTTTTAAATTTTAACTTGGTATATGACCTTATAAGTTCTCAACCTAATAATGTGCATCAGAATCACCTGGACAAATTGGGGAAGTATAGATTGTGGGTCCCAACCCAGAATTTGTGAATCAGTAGACTAAGAATCTGTATTGATAGATGATGATGATATTGGTTCATGCTATGAGAACCACTAGTAGGTACTGTTTCCTTTGAAAAGCAAACACTTGCAAATATGTGAAATTTCTTAAGCAAACATTTAATGGTAGGGAGGCATTGGAGAATAAGGGGAATATGGGGTAAGAATATATGATAAAATAAATACACTAAGTCTAAGCTCGACAGGAAACTGAAAGCTTCCAAATTTTTTTCAACAGAAGCAGAAAAAGAAAAAAGTCACAAAGATGACAGTGAATTAGACTTTTCAGCTCTTTGTCCTAAGGTATTTTTGTTTAGTTTTCAATATGTTTGGGTGGTTTGGTTGTACAGTTATTTATATAAATCAAGGCTGAATGATTTCCTGATAGACTTTTCTTCCTATTTTATTTGAACAATTTCAAAGAAAAATACTCATAACTTTGTTTTATTATTATGACATTTCAGGGGTTAGTGTGGGTTTTTCATAAGATTTTCCTTTGCAGTTTAAAATGTGCTACTGGTATGTCTGTTAATACAGATTAGCCTCACGGTTGCTGCCAAAGAGTTATCTGTGTCTGACACAGATGTCTCAGAAGTATCCTGGACTGATAATGGGACCTTCAACCTTTCCGAAGGTTATACTCCACAGACAGACACTTCTGACGGTATGCTCATATTTCTGGATACTCTTCTTATTATGGAGTAAAAGTAAAAATATTTAACTTCTGTCAATCATGAATGGATAAATAAAATGGATAAATAAAATGTGTATATCTCTACAGTGGAATCTTACTGGTCTGTAATAAAGTAATGTACTGGGCTGGGGGTATAGCTCAGAGATGGAGTGCTTGCCCAACATGGGCCCCAGGTTTGATTCCCAGCATTGGGGGCGGGGGAGGTAGATAAGCCAGAAACAAATGGCCACATATTGTACGATTCCATTTATAAGAAATGTCCAGAATAAACAAGTTCATATATGAGAAGGTAGGCTAGAGGTTTCTAGGGACTAGCAGAGAGAAAGATGGTGTTAGTAGGTCTTTTTGGAGTGATACAAGTGTTCTAGAATTAATGGTAATGATTGTATAGCTTTGTGAATATACTAAAAAACCACTGCACTGTATATTTTAAAAGGGTGAATTTTATGGTATGTGAATTACATCTCAAAAATGGTTATTTTAAAGAAACATGAGAAAAAATGTCTATGCCAAAATCTCTTTATTTTGAAAACTATGTATATACATAGTTTTTGAAAAAATATATATTTATATAATTTTTTAATATATAAATTACCTTATGAAATGTCTGGCAGCATTCCTTGTAGCATTAATAGGAAGAGGGAAAGAAGAAAGCTGATTTTATATATTTGGCCCTGGTATTTATTAAAAGAGATTTAAGTATGGAGGGCAAGTTCCCCTGAGTAAAGCCAATTCCAGAGTTTCTCATGTTTATCTTCAAGGTTAATCAAACCTCTTTGTTTTTTATAGCTAGGTAAAATGGAATTTAACGTAGTAGAGTAAAAATTGAATTTAATAATGTAAATTCCATCCGTAACGTAAGTTGAGTCAGTGCTTATGCAATAACTTAACTTTTGCTAGTCTCATTGGATTAATTGTCCAATTGGACCTTCTTTTCAATGGTCTCAGCCATATACTGAACATATGAGCAGATTATATGAAGAGGATAAGTAACCTGGTTTTATAATTACTTTCCCAAAATACATGTTCTATAGGAGGGAAGGAAGGAGGCTGTGAAGTGTGTGAAAGATGGGTTTGGAGGTTGGGAGACCCAAGTGTAGTCTTGCCTTGCTAGTAGCTCACTGTATGACCTTAAACAGATGACATAATTTTTGTGGACCTCAATTTTGTCGTATTTAAAGTGCATTAGAACAAGAGGAACAGTGAAGTTCACTTAAGGTCTATAAGCTTTTGGTTCTTGTTCACTCAAGGTCTATAAGCTTTTGGTATCTACAACTGAGGTCATATTTTAAAGACAAGAAAAACAATCACTTGGTTTTAACCATCCCATCTCAGATTTATGTAACAAAAGGGACAAAAATCATCCAATCAACATACAGGGATTTCATTAATAGATTTGATTTCCAAACACTTTTGCAAGGAGTTCACTGTTACACTGAAAGACTTTCTATGAAAAGTAAATCAGGAGCTGGGGATGTGGCTCAAGCGGTAGCGCGCTCGCCTGGCATGCGTGCGGCCTGGGTTCAATTCTCAGCACCACATACAAACAAGGATGTTGTGTCCGCCGAGAACTAAAAAATAAATATTAAATAAATATTAAAATTCTCTCTCTCTTTAAAAAAAAAAAAAGAAAAGTAAAGTAAATCAGTCTATCCCTCATGTGACATTGCTTACAAATATCATGAATCTTGGCATGGCTAGTTTCAGCTATATCGATGGAGAGCCAAATGCTTCCATAAGCTGTTGGGTTGAACTGGTACAGAGAAGGCAGGAGCTTCTTTTCATTGCTTTAAACAGTCACAGGTTATAGATATGCAAGAAAATCTCCATGTATGAAATGCTCAGGCTGGATAATATCCAAAAGGTGATGTATCAGAATCCACGAATACCTCCAATTCACATATTTTTAAATTTTGTGATCATGCATATTCCCAGTGGCTTAAGATAATTCCCATTTTAGGGGCAGGATGGAATTTTTATGATGAACACCTAAACTTTAGTCAAATCCTAAAGCTCATATTAGACAAGCTGAATATTAAGTGATAATTGCAATGTTTTGTGCTTAAGAGGCAAGTTAAAAGCTACAGATGGACATACAATATTTATGTACTTGTGGAGAGCTAGTGTCACAGATTTGGGAAGGGCCCAATATGTTGTTTAATTGATTTAGGTTGACTCCAGAGGCTAGATTAATGTCAAGGTTGACTGGAAAGTTCAAATCAAAGTCAGATTTTAGACAGCTCTTATTTCAAATTTGTTTTGGTGCTTAAATGAGAACTTCTATTATGCACTTCACAGATCTTGACCGGCCTAGCGAGGAAGTTTTCTCTCGAGATCTTTCAGATTTTCCATCTCTAGAAAATGGCACGGGAACAAATGATGAAGATGAATTAAGCCTTGGCTTGCCCACTGAGCTCAAGAGAAAAAAGGAACATCTGGAAAGTGGTCACAGACCAAGCAAAGAGAGACAATCAGCAGCTGGTCTCACCCTTCCTCTGAACAGTGACCAAACTTTCCACTTGATGAGCAACCTGGCTGGGAACGTCATCACAGCTGCAGTGACTGCTGCTATTAAAGACCAGCTAGAGAGTGCTCAGCAAGTACTTGCTCAAGCTGCACCCAGCCCAGGGGAGGACACAGACACTGAAGAAGGTGATGACTTTGAATTACTTGACCAGTCAGAGCTGGATCAAATTGAGAGTGAATTGGGACTTACACAAGACCAGGAAGCAGATGCACAGCAAAGTAAGAAGTCTTCAGGCTTCCTTTCAAATTTCCTTGGAGGCCATTAATCTGGGAATCAGCCTGCAGCAGCACAGATAAACCACCAAAAAATTTCAAACAAGACAAAAAAAAAAAAAAAAAGACAAAAAAAAGGAAAAAAAATTGAACTGTGAGCTTTAATGATTACTTTAGATTTTTATTTTCCCTTCTGCAGTGAATTAATTGGATATATTTCAGCTGACACTGATAGATTGATATTTCTGATAGTTATTTTTACGTAATAAGCATGGAAATGAACTTTATATATATATATAAATATATATAAATACTGTGTTGTCAGAGAATATTAGGGGCTGTTTTTAAAGCATAAAGGAAAGAATACCCAAATACCAAATTATTAAGATCCTTCTATAAGTATTCTCTTTTTTTACTTATAATTAATTTTTAAGCATGCAAAATTTTGTTGTCACTGAAAAATATTAATAATTGTGAATTCATGTTGTATCCGACAAATTATCAGGATGTCTTTAGTTGAAGGATTTGGGAAATACTATCAAAATTAATTTCCTAGGAAAAAATTTAAAAACATACTTAAGTACTATGGGTAGGCTGAAACATTTCCATGTTCTCTCTGCAATTGTAGACACAGGCTTAATTGTAAGGTGGCATTCTACATTGATTGCCATCTCTAGGCTTGCAGTGGGTGGTATTAACCCATAGAGAGCGAGTAGTTACGTATCACATAGATGATGGTTATGATGCAAACAGAGATTCAGCTGTTTTATTGTTCAGTTTGTCATGTTTGTAATAGGAGTGTCTATTCTGCCTGTTTAGACTTAAGTTAAACCTTCATCTTTTATATTGTTTCATAGAAAGAGTCTCCTAAAATTGTGAAACTAGTTCTTGATATGTTCTATGAGTGATGTGGTCATCAGCAATAAAAAAAAAATGACTTTTTCTTATTTGTTAGTTAGAAGAGAGGAACTTGCTTGGCTTTAAAGTGTATTTATTTGCCACTGAAGTCTAAATATGTAATCTGTTTCTTATTGAGAAGTTAAATATATATTTTACTTAAAAATTTTTGGTCACCTATAATCAAATTTGACTTGCAGTTTAAAACAAAGGACTAAAAAGCAGAAACCAAGATAGCTTTTGTTTTTAGTAGTTTTTGACTTTTAGTAGTGTTGAGGGACCATGTCAGCAACTATCTATAAACTCTATAAATCTTCAGTTAGAGCTGGCATTTCTGCAGATGCACAGACATGTGAGATCCTCAGAAAGGAAGGATAATCTAAGAATATAGGAAATCAGCATTCCCCTCCTTTCATTGTATCTCTTATATTTCTAAAAATGAATTATAGGTTTTAATGTAGAATCTTATTTATTTTTTCTTTCTGAGGTATTAAAATATCTAGACTGAATTTTGCCAAATGTTAAAGGGAGAAAAGTTACTGAAGACTTCGAACATTTGCTTTTTGTGACTAAGCTTATGTTTCATTAGTGCCTCTTGACTGTGTTTGATGTCCCTTATTGATACTAAGTGAGCCTGTGCCTTCATCATCTTGCCCATTTGGTACAAATGTCAACCTGTGTTAGAAAATCTCTGACTGTGGGTTTTGGAAGAATATACCTGAATTCTACTCAATAAGTTTCTGGACATGAAGAAAAATACAGTCACATATTTATAAAATAGTTGTTACCTGGATTCTTTTTTTTTTTTATGTGTGTGTTTCTTTACTTAAAAAAAATTCTTGGTCATGAAGTCAAAAGGTTTAATGGCCATTTCAATTTCTTCACTGAAAAAAAAAACAAGAAGAATTTAAATTTTAATATCCAGGAAATTAAACTATGTAAGTCACTGAATAAGCCTATAAGAAGTACAATTCAAGGGCTAGTAATGTGTAATGGTATGAGCAATAGATCTATAGCAAATGTTACAAACTAAAAAAGGGTTCGGGTATGGGTAGCTGGTAGGGTAGAAAAATGTGTCATCAGCACTATAGAGGAAACATACCAGCTCTTTATAGACCATAGCATTATAACCACATATGTAATTTAATAGTATTTTTACAAAAGTATATAAATACAAATTTACACAATACATTAATGGTACTTTTTACAAAACTTTTAATGAAAACACAGGGGTGTTGACAAGGGTTTTGTGCGTGTGTGTGTGTGTGTGTGTGTGAATTTTGGAGAAGGGCACTGTCTGCTTTTAAGCTATAGTAACAAATAAACCCTGCAACTGATCCAGTCTTGTGGGGGTGACATATCTTTTACCATGAAAGCATAAAAGATGCAATATTTCTTCAATATCTAAAAAAAGAAAAAAGAACTGACCAAAAAATGGCTTGTAGTATCTACATGGAATGAAGTCATTAAAATGTGAACTGTGGATTTTTTTCTTTTCAAATTGTAGAGGAGCTGTCAAGAAGTTTTGCTTACTTCCAACAGAAAGTGCTGAGCAAAATAATAAAAGGGAATAGCATATATTTATCACGTATTTTGATCTAAAACAATAAAGCAGTGCTCAAAAAGTTGGTTTGCTTTGGAAGCAAAGGCTTGGACAGGCTCATTCTAAAATGCCTTTGCTTTTGCCTTACCCTAAAATCTTCAAAAGTGATTTTTAAAAACTACCCCTCCCTAATTTAGTAGAATTAGTATTTTATTTTATTTACAAGGTTTTTGCAATTAGCAAATATTCTCAACATATTTAGGAATCTCACTCTTACTTAAAACAAGTGCCTTTCTTCCTTTAAAAAAATGGCAAATGCCAGCATGTTGATTGTAGACCCAGAAACAAAGTGACACTTAAGTGATTTTAACATTTTTATTTTTTGTTTATAATTTACATTAGTGTATTTCTTTTCTTTTTTATATCAAGGATTGAACCATATCTCCAACCTTTTTTTCAAATATTTTCCTTTGAGAGGGTCGTTAAGTTACTTAGGGCCTCGAAAAGTTGCTGAAGCTGGCTTTGAACTTGCAACCCTCCTACTTCAGCCTCCCAAGCCACTGGGATCAAAGGCATGCACCACAGTGCCCACTAGTGTATTTCTTTATACTGTTCCATGAGTGTTAGTTGCAAGACAGGAAATCATTGTGAAAACTGTTACTGGGGGTGGGGTTGTAGCTCAGTGGTAAAGTGCTTGCCTTGCATGCGTGAGGCCCTGGGTTCGGTCCCCAGCATCACATAAAAATAAAGATATTGTGTCCATCTACAACTAAAAAAATATTAAGAAAAACTTAGTATTTTTAGAAAAGTATATGAATACAAATTTACACGATACATTAATGGTACTTTTTACAAAACTTTTAATGCAAACATTACTGTTGTAATATCTGTTGTCACAGATCATTTGTATCATAGTCAAGTTAGAAAGTCTCAATTATATTTTGTGTATTATTCCTCCATTTCCACTGCAGTATTTATGTTAGAACAGAATGTTGGAAATAGGAATTCTGGTTCTAATGTTAAATATTATGGCTCTAAAACACAATGTCAAAGTCATACCATGTCTCCAAATCATGATTCAATTTCCCTAAACATACAATAAAGAAGTTAATTCTTCCCTTTTCACACTGGGATGTTTTAAGAATAAATGAAAAAAAAGTATCTGAAGTAATTTTTTTGGAGGGGAGCTATTTTTCCTGTGTCCCAATTAAGCCAATGTTTTAAACATTATAACAAAGGCAATCAGTAAGTTTACAAGAAAATTCTGTGACGTTCTTATGATGGGTCTAGCACTATAGTGGCCTCATATCCAATAAATACCTGTGGAATAAATGTATGGAAATGCTACAAAAAATACCTATTATTTCAGTTAACTGGGCACAATGTGTAAGGTTCTAAACTAGCCCCACTGGCTTTGGGGCTCTGGAAAGTTCACCTAACAACTCTGTTTCTCTAATTTAACAAAATAAAGATAAAATAGCTAGGTTATGTTTGCTAAAACTGGAAAATCAGTGATAATAATTGAGTGGTAGCCTATCTCTGAATATGGTCCTGAAAGGCCACCTTACCCCACTCCGCTGGTATCCATTCCCTGTTGTAGTTCCCTCTCACATTCAATAGAGCTGACCTGCATAATTGCACCTTATGTAATAACTGTGTGTGACCAAGGCCAGGTCATAAAAAAGACTTTATGACTCTACTCTGTGCGAAGGGGATACCATACTCAAGTTGACCTAGGTCTTCCTCTTGGTGAGAAACCAAAATCTCTTGCTATCAAATATGTGAGTGCACCATTCTTGATGGGACTCCATCAGCCACAGTCAAATTCTAAACCTTCAGATGGCTTTAGCCCTGGCAGCAGGTTCACTGCAACCTCAAAGATTGAGTCAGAACTCCCCAGCTAAGCCACTCAAATCAAGATTTGCAGAAATTTGATGCTGAATTTTGGAGTAATTCAATACAAAGTAATACATAACCAAATAGTATCATAGAGAACTTTTATGTCTGGTAAGAATAGGGGTGGGCACTATTTTTGACAAAGGATTTAGATAAGCCTCTCTTCTGAAGGTACTCAGATTGTTACTACATGCAGTAGGGAGAGTAAGAGGTTAGGCTTTTTAGTACTCACAAGACTCCACAAATATTATAGGGTCAAGTTGGCAGGAAAATGGTTATTTGAAGCCAACTTTGAAGGATTATGGAGGATATTTGTTTTCATTTTTTGCCTCAAATCATCCGGGGAACTCAAGGACAAGGAAATCTTATTCTTTTCTTTTTGGTACCAGGGATTAAACCCAAGGCACTTTACTGCTGAGCCACATCCCAAGCCTCCTTGCTCCCCATGTTTTTTTATTTTGAGACAGGGTCTCACTAAGTTGCTTAGGGCCTTACTAAGTTGCTGAGGCTGACTTTGAACTTGCAATCCTCCTGCCTAAATCTCCTGAGCTGCTGGGATTACAGGCATAGGCCATAGTGCCTGGCTCAAGGAAAGCTTTCAAAAGAGGGGGCAAGGGCTGGGGTTGTAGCTCAGTAGTGGAATACTTGCTTTGCATGTGTGAGGCACTAAATTTAATCCTCAGCACCACATAAAAAATAAATAATGGTTTTGTGTCCACCTACAACCAAAAATATTCTTTAAAAAAGGCAAACAGACTAAAGGCAGAAAATATACATATGCAGATTTAGCTAGCATATGTTTAGCCAGAGACTATATCACTTTTAATTTACTGGGAATCTGTCAGGCCAGGAGGACCAGCCCCTCAGCCTCTATTCTTGAAATGAGGAAAAACAGAATGCAGAAAAAAAAAGTTAACAGGAGGTTGCTCTAATTTCAGAGAAAGTCTATTTCAAGATTTATAATGTGAGCAAGAAGATCAGAGCAGACTAACAGGAGTTCTAGAACAATACCAACCAAAGATGCTTGCTTAGCTTGTTAGAATAACATCAAGTGTCACTGTGACCAAAGTAGGTTGAGCAAGGTAGAGAAGGTTGAGTAGATCAGAGGTAAGGGTCCTCCTGGTAGCAGATCTTGTAGGACCTAGAACACAAAGGTAGGTGTTTGAAGGATTTTGAGCAAAGAGCTCCACAATCTGGCCTATATTTTAAAAATGTGTCTTCTCTTGGTGCTATTGGCAGCTTGGATTCTGAAAAAAATCTGACTCTGGTTTTACTCAACTGTGTAGATAAACCTATGAACTTCCCCAAGTTTTTAAAGTTCCGTGTTTTCCTATAAAACCGTACATATATATATGTGAAGGTACATAAGCAACTGACCACATGAAATGGGGCTAGTCTAGAGATGAACTATGGTTGCAAGACACAAGATTTCCAAGATTTAATACCAAGAAAAGAACGTAAATTATCTTTTTAAATCTTTTCTACTGAAAACTTAAGAACAAACTATATCACTAACAGCGATTTCACCCATTTTTACTTTTTTAATAATGTGGACACAGATTTAACATTGCAGATGTGGCTTGGATTATATTTCCATTGGACAGTGGTTTGGCTATGCTTTGGGCACCTCGCAGGCAAACGTTTATTCATTTAAGAGCTTCGCCTGCGCTCTTCCCTCGCCTTAAGAAGAGGCTCGGGTCACTTGGTGAATCAGTCCAGCGGGAGGGGCTGGGGTGCGGAGGTCCTAGAGGGCGTTTCCCGCTTTCGCCAACCTCATTCACCCAGCTCGTGGGCAAAGCGTGCGGGTGTCGAGGACCTCCGACTTCCGTTCGCCCGCCGGACCTTCCTCGAGGGTTCCCAGGACCGGGAGCAGCCCCGGACACCCACATCACCCTCTATTATAGCCATCGCCCGGACCGCGTCACACATCACCGCACAACCGCGGAGGAAGGTAACAGACGACACGGTACCTGACAATCAACACCCACCCCGCCCTCCGGCTGGCTGAGTGGATCCGGGAGCTGGTCAGCCACGAACTTCCCTCGCCTTCCGGGGCGTGGCCCCAGGCCAAGAGGCGGGATTTCCCTTCCAGGTGTGAATATCTTCCGGCGCGTACCGGAAGTTACCTCAGTGAGAAACAGGAAGTCGGAGCGCCGAGCCTGTCTTCCTAGATCTGCGTAAGGCTAATCGCTAGCGGACTGTGGGACCGGAACGCTAATCGTTAGATTCTTGGCTAGGTCGCCTCTTGTTTCTCGCCTGGCCATGGCGACATACACCTGCATCACCTGTCGGGTGGCGTTCCGCGACGCGGAGATGCAGCGGGCCCACTACAAAACGGACTGGCACCGCTACAACCTGCGGCGAAAAGTGGCCAACATGGCTCCGGTCACTGCCGAAGGCTTCCAGGAGCGAGTGCGGGCGCAGCGGGCCGTGGCAGAGGAGGAGAGCAAGGGCACGGCCACCTACTGCACTGTCTGCAGTAAGAAATTCGCCTCCTTCAACGCCTACGAAAATCACCTCAAGTCCCGGCGGCATGTGGAGCTGGAGAAGAAGGCGGTGCAGGCTGTGAATCGGAAAGTGGAAATGATGAACGAGAAGAACCTGGAGAAGGGGCTAGACGTGGACAGTGTGGACAAGGACGCCATGAACGCGGCCATCCAGCAGGCCATCAAGGCCCAGCCGTCCACGTCTCCCAAGAAGGTGTCCACAGAGGAGTTCCGGAGTGCGGTGGCCGTCGCTGCGGGTGGACGTGGAACTCACGACCGAGACCCGGCGGAGAAACCGCCCCGGCTCCAGTGGTTTGAACAGCAGGCGAAGAAACTGGCCAAGCAGCAGGGCGGAGAGAGTGAGGAGGAGGAAGAAGAGGAGGAGGACCTGGATGGAGAAGGTAATGGCCTTGTCTGGGGGCGGAGGACCAGAGGAAGTTGGCTTCCCTTGAGTTTCCAAGTTTATACTTAAGGGGTGTGTGGGTGTGGGTGTGTGAAAATGATCATTAGATTTCTGAAGTGCCTTTCCGTGTCCTCAGAAGGAATTTTCTCTGTTTGGTTCACTGCTGTACATCCAGGGCCTAAAACTTCACCTGGAAGAGGAATAGATGTTTAGTAAATATCTGTAGGATGAATTGGCGCGTTCTCTGTTTCGGATAAGTTTTTCACATACGCATAGAAAGACACATTATTGTCACACTGGCTGCTGTAAAATCGATGATTCTATTGGACTTAGATTTGTTGATTAGAACTGAACGAGGGGCTCCCAATCAACTAGCAAAACTGGTGTGGAGCTTGAGCTTCACGAACTATTTGGTCTCTCCTTCCCTCATGCCTAGACCTGTTGACATTGTTAATGTATGTCTTAGTGACTTAATTCATTTGTGTCTCCGTAGCAAATACCTGAGACTTGGATGGAAGTTTATAAACAGTGTCATTTATTTTCCCATAGTTTTGGAGGCTGGGAAGTGTAAAATCAAGGCATTGGCAGGGTCTTCCATAAAGGAAGTTTGCTCGTGATTTACTCAAATGATAGAAAAGGCCGAAGATAAGGATTGTGTCCTCCTATAGCAGGAGGAGGAAAAGGCCAAAAAAAAAAAAAAAAAGCTACTTTCTTCCTTCCCCACCTCTTAGTACTGTAACTGTGGTGATTCATTTTAAACATGAAAGAGCACATACATTCAAACGACAGCAGCAATTTGTAGCACAATACCACCACTACCACCACCACATACATGGCACTGTAGTACTACTGTGAAGTTCTAGGTGTTGTTATAGTACTGAATAAGAATATCAGCCAAATGAAACCACAGACATAGGAAAGAAGTGTGACACTAATTCAGGGATATTACCATATACTGGAAAGCAAGATTAACAAGTTTCTTACCCATACAAATTTGTCTGTGGTAAATAAATAGTTAAAATTGAGATCTTGAAAAAGGATTTTTTTTTCCAGGGGGATGCAGTTGCCATTCTGTCTCCCCAAACATAGGTATTCCACTTTGTGTGAATCATTGTGGTGTCTTTGATTGTGGTTACTACTCTTTAAAGTTAACTTTGTTTATCAAAACTCTGGCTTGAAGATTGGGAAGATATTGATTCTGATGAAGAATTGGAATGTGAGGATACTGAAGTGATGGACGACACGGAGGAGCAGGATGCAGATGAGGAAGAAGCTGGGCATAGCCCACCCCTAGGTGCCATCCCAGTTACGGACTGCTTATTTTGTCCCCATCATTCAAGTTCCCTCATGAAGAATGTGGCTCATATGACTAAAGTCCACAGCTTTTTTATTCCTGATATAGAGTATCTTTCAGACCTTAAGGGTCTGATAAAATATTTAGGTAAGTATAATAGTTTTCCTTTTAATGAGGAAATACCATGTTATTGGGGTGGGCAGTTCTCAAGGGAACATCAGTTTTATGTTTCTCATCAATCTTTGATTTAATTATTTAGTGAAAATTAGAAATGAATGCATTATTTTTGTTTTGTTTTGTTTTTGTATTTGAGTTGTGGAAATAAATGTTGAGATTTAGTCTGGCTGCAAAAAACTGCTTTCATATTTTTTTTTCCTCAAATTATTTAACCAGGAGAGAAAGTTGGTGTTGGGAAGATTTGCTTGTGGTGCAATGAGAAAGGGAAATCCTTCTACTCCACAGAAGCTGTACAGGCACATATGAACGACAAAAGCCACTGTAAGCTTTTCACAGATGGTGATGCTGCTTTGGAATTTGCAGACTTCTATGATTTTAGGTAAGTCTAGGGGTTCATAATGTGAAGTGAATTGAGGTGGTATTCAACAATATATTCTTCCCCCACCCCCGGCACCAGGGATGGAACCCAGTGGTGCCTAACCTCTCAGCCCTCTTTCTATTTTATTTAGAAACAGGGGCTCTTTAAGTTGCTTAGGGCCTTGCTAAATTGCTGAGGCTGGCTTTGACTTTGTGATTCTCCTACCTCAGCTTCCTGAGCTGCTGGGATGAAGCTCTGCTCAATATTTTCATTATATATATGTATATTCATAATAACTCTTGTAGCACCTCTGTATAGGTTAAGAAACTCGGTTTAGCACATATAGGAAAGAGAAGATTAAGATTTCAGGCACAAACTGTAGTTTGTCTCACTTGTTTTTGTTCTTTGTAGTTAAATGGTCAGGAGTTTAGTTTTGCCAATTACCTTGTGAACAGAGTTGAAGAAATTAGGTTTCATTCCTTGAGGGACCTTGAATCAAGCTGTCTCCTAAAGGAGTTGAGATGGTTGCTAAACTAGAATGATCATAATACTAGATCATGGTATTTGGTGGTGAGATTATCCCATTGATGGTTTAACCCTAACTGAAATCTCAAGTAGTTCTTACATCATGCAACAAATGGATGTTAGGTGCTCATGAAAAACTAAGATTTTATTGTCAGAATTCCTCCAATGTAGTAAAGGAGAGAAGCAGGCATATATAATCATCATACCAACCATTCATAGCTGAAGTGATACAGGAGCTCAGAAAAGTCGTCTTCTGTTAAACTTTATGTTTTCTCCCTGATTTGTCCTTTTGCAATTGAGGACTTTGTAGTTGTGGGCATAAATAGGGGGTTAGAGGTGGTGGCAGACAAGAAGACAGAATATCTGCTAAAAGTGGAGAGCATCCTCTTACAGACAAGAGACAGTATTTCTCCCTCTCACTTTTCCTGTCAGCAGTGTTTATTACCTTTTGACTTAGGTTGTTCTAATCAAAGTGCTCAAAGCCAATGATAGAGTCAAGAGGCTGTAGCTAGCAGCTGGCTTGGAATGCTGAGTGTTGGTTTTCTAGCCATCTATGCCTTCTTATATATTCAGGATCCTACCTAGTCTCATAGATTTTAGTACCTCTTGTAGGCTCATGTCACCCCAATTTTTCTCTCTACTAGAGCATTCACTTCAGCTCCAGGTTTATGTATCCAGCCCTCCTTGATGTTTCCACTTTATTCAAAATCAAACTCCTGCTGTGCTCGCTAACTTGATCTTCCTTAAGTAAATGACAGCTCTGTCCTTTTAGTTACTTAAGCCAAAAAGTTTGCCATCATCTTTTCTGTTTTATTTCATGCTTTCATTAACTCCTTTACCATTCCTGCCCCACACACCTTCAGAATCTAACTACTTCTTACTTCCTACACTGCTGCAACCTGGATCCACATCCCCCTTAGGTTTCACTGAATTTGCTGCAGTATTTCCCTGCCTGCTTGTCTCCTAACATTCATTTTTACCATCCCTTACATTCTATTCTCAGAGCTAGCCACAGGGATTCTCTTAAAGTATAAGTCAAATCAAATTCTCCTCAAAATCTTCCAAGGGCTTCCTGTCTTACTCAAAGCAAAAGCTAAAGTTTAATGATCTACACAATCTTTTGTGGTTTGGCTGTCCTTATCACTTTGGTGTTTTCTGTTTCTTGCTTGTTCCATTCCTAGCTATTCTTCTTCTTCTTTTTTTTTTTTTCCAGTTATTGATGGACACAATACTTTTGTTTTGTTGATTTATTTTTATGTGATGCTGAGGCTTGAACCCACTTCCTCACACATGCTAGGTGAGTGCTTTACCACTGAGCCACAACCCAGCCCGATTCCTAGCTATTCTAAAAACAAAAATTATGTTTCTCAGTTCCTTTGTACTTCCTGTTGTCTTTGCCTATAACCTTTGCTGAAATATTCATATGACTTGTTCATTCACTTCTGCAGGGTTTGGCATAAATTCCACCTTTTCAAGGTGGCCTTCTATGACCGCCTTTGATAAAATCACAACACCTACCTGATATTTTTTAATCTTCTTTATTTTTCTTAATAGTTTTGCTGCAATGTTGCATATTATTTATTGTTTCTCTCCTTCTAGAATCTAAGCTTCAAAAAAGTAAAGGCTTTTGTTGTTGTGTTGCTTACTGGTTGTTGTGTGGACTATTTGTATTAACATTAATAACTGATTTAAATGGTTCAAGAAGTGAATTTTCTTTAATTCAAATAATGCTTTTTTGAATCTGTACAGAGTTTATTGTGTGAATTCCTAAAAATGAGAAATGATGTGAGCCTTTATAAAAATGAATATTAAGTGGCTTATTTACATAAAAAACCCCAAAAGT